CTAGGCCTGCAAGCATTTGAAAATGTGTAATAGCAATCACTGCTTTTATACAGCTGTGCACTACCAACTTTCCTGGATATCTGCTCTTCTGTGCTTGCAGTCAGATGTTCCAAGCATAACATACCACCGGCTGCAATGGACCATCTAGAGCTCGCTGGCAGAGGGTGGTTTATGCTTTTGGTAGGAAGGAAGTCTCTACTCCATGGAGTCATTGGTTCTAAATGGTGGAGAGGTGACACTTGCCTCATTCTCAAAATAAACTGCTAGAGGAAGAAATTAAACCCATTTGCCACCTTCCCATCAAACAGGCAAGTGTGTATAAGCAGCTTCAGAAACATTCCAAGGTAGAACAGAACAGAATTTGCTCGGACTTGTTTGCCCAGCTGCTGCCTTCCCCAAGGTGTGACTTTGTCCAGCTTGGGAGTAAGGTTGTCCTCACGGCCCCACTTCCCAGCACCTCAGCCCTGGGAGATGCCCAGGGGATGTGAACATAAGCCCTACCATCCCAGGGTGAGGCTTAATGGATCTGGTACCTTAGGCACCACTTTCTGTATGGGAAAAATAGGGAATTTGCAGTGGGCTTATGAAAGTCCATAGTTTATGACTGATAGGCTAAAGTAATCTGCGTACCTCCTGTGCTTCTACTTCACGGCTCTGGCTTGTAGAAGACTTATGATTTAACAGGAGTCAGGAAATACTTATTCGTGCCTCAGGAATATGTCTTATATGTAATTCAGGAAGATCTCTTTCAGTTGTAAAGACTTTCTTCCTTTTCCCTCAAATTGCCAAGGAAGAAGCAATTTTTGAGATTTATTGCTGTGTTGAAGGTTTCTGGCCTTAGAGTGATTCTTTGGTATTTTGTGTGAGAATTTTTTGCCTTGCCTTTGGGACAATAAGTGGTTTTCTTTAGTTCTTTGATAAGTTATGAAAAGTAGCAGATTTTAAAAAATCTTCTTTATTGGTTTTTGGCTTGCTTTGTTGTGTTTTTGGGTTTTTTTTGCTTCAAGATAATGAAGACCTATTTGTAATTAGAGGTAGATGTGAATTTGAAAATCCTCACTATACTGTATGCTATAAGGAATGCTATTTTTATTGGGGGTTGTGGCTTGTCTTTAACAAAAAAAATCATTTTAGGGTTAATTCAAAGGTGTTGGTTTGTGGTTTGTGGTTTTTTGTTGGTTTTTGTTGATTTTTGTGGCTTTTTCCCCCCACAAAGACTTCTGTGACAGATAGGTAGATAAGTTCTATATTTCCAAAAGAAAGCACTATCTTTAAGGAGGAAGATGTCTCTCTGTAAAAGGAATGAAGTAATTTATAATTTCTAGTCCTTTTTTTTTTTTGTAAGGAAGAAGGAAGATGAACAAAATTGCCTGCTACCCTTTAAAAGCTTTTACTACTGCCCTGGGCACCTGGAAGATGCTAGTTCTGACACCTTTAGCTCAGCTATGTCTTAAGTGGGCTCATATGACCAGAGTAGTTAAATCAAATAAATGGTACCAATATTTATCTTTTGTTTGTTTGTTTGGTTTTTTTACCTGAAAATGTAACAAGCCAGGTTGTTGGTTCTTTTTGGGTTTGTTTTTTTAAAATTTAAAAAACACATGGAGGGCATCTCCTGTGGCTTGCGTTGGATGCAAGAAGATCCTGCTGCCCTCTGTTCCTGCAGTCCTACAGTACCAGTCACTGCTGTTCTTGGGCCACTCTATCCTGGTTACCTACACTTTCATAAATCTAGCAGTGCCTCCAGGGGAAGGTGGAATAAAAGACAAATTAGCTAAGTAAACTTTGATAGGGAAAAAGATAAAGGAGAGTATGGTGTCTTATTTGTGCTGGGAGCTTTTAGCTGTCTACAGTTATCACCTGTGGTCCACACAATCTTTTCATCACATTGTGGTTGTGTTTCTGTCCTTTTCTGTTTTCGCTGAGCTGCCTGGGTGAGCATATGTTAGCCCCTGCTGGGAAGGCAGGGACAGGTAGTTCTGCTCTGCCTCCAGCTGGGATGGAAGAACGTGCAGCTCTTGGGTCAGGGCAAAGACTGGTTTTGCTCGATTAGTAGTTGGTCAGTGCAAATTATTTAGTGAGGTGAGAAATAAGATCTAGCTGTGAATAAGGTTTCTTCCTCCAGTATAAATTGCGAACTACAGGCAGATGGTGATTTAGGAATTGCTTGTGCCAGAGGCCACATCCAGACCGTTTGGTTAGTGGCCAGAGAAGAGTTTCAGATGACCAGCAACCCCACCTGCTCCTCCTGCCCAGCAACTCCCCTCAGCCTCTCCTCCCAGGCAGGACCTGGCTGCAGGGCCAAGGTATCAAATACATTAAATGCTCATACAAATTTTTTAAAAGTAGAGGGTAGAGGAGGGATAACCCGAACTGAGCTCTGGAGTGACCACAGCACGAGCCCAGCAGTCTGACCTGCGGGCTTACAGGCAGGACCAAAATTAGCCCGTGCCTGGTCTTAAAGGACCAGCTCTTCACAAAAGCCTCTGCCTGAACCATATGCTTTGAAAAGGGCTCTGCTAGCTGTCAGATGTTTCTTGTTTCAGAATTAGGTAGTAGCACAGAGAGCTCTGCTGCTCTGTGAGGCTAGTTTATGAGGGTTGGGCTCCCATCTCTCAGCCCTGCCTGAGGGACTGAGCTGGAAGCCCACAATGGCATTAATCTAGAGCTGTGATTTGTTGTGGAAGGAGGAAAGAACAAGAACGTGCAATACCATTTTCTCCTTCAGCCGAGCTAATTCCCCTATTTTCCTTTTTCCCATTTGATGTACGGGTTTTATTTGTCTTTCTCCAGCATTCGGTTTCCTTTGCTTATCTGCAATGCTGCAGCCTTGAATAATACCGTATTCTTCCTAGAGCTGTGAACTAGAGGTTGCTTTCTCAATTATTGATTTAATGAACAGCAAGTGGAGAAATATTTGATAGCTGGTTCATTTGAAAGCAAAAGCGTATCTTGTGGACAGAGAACATGTTGTGCATTAGCAGTGCATTCCCTTTGGCCCAACATACCTTCTTGTGCCTCTGGATCTTTGTTGTCAAACCCCTGTGGTAAAGTGGTGACAGCAAATGGGCAGACTGTAATTAGGCCAGGCAAGGTGGGAAGGGAGAGTCAATTGGCAGGAGAGAAACAGAGCATATGTGCAGAGCTGAGCGGAAGGGAAGTTGGAGTTGGGCTAGGACTGATAATTTGCATTCAGAGTGGAGAAATAATTTTTAATCTTTTTAATTTTTCCATTCAATTTTCTATTGTAATTACAAGACAAAATGACCATTACTGGCCAGATTGGTGTCTGCTTCCACTCTTGGAATAATGTATTTTAGGTGCTGTTGTGACTGCAGGAAGACACTGAAAAAGTGGATTGCTGAAACAGGTGGCTCTGGTGCTGTTTAATGTAGATATTGAAAAAGAAGTCTGGAGCTGTGACTCCCCTCTCTGCCTTGTGTTTTCTCTTTGAACCAGGGGAGGCCAGTGCACTTTTTTGTGATCCTGTGGTTCACCTCCTCTAAAGCGACATCAGAGCCTCCTGATATGTACTCTTGAATTTGTTACCCGTAGAAAATGTTCATTGTCTTTCCCATAGAACAAGATGAATATATTTTAATACTAGTATTTAGGAATTTCAGCCACTGACTAGGCAAGTGGTAACTGGCGTTGCAGTCTGTAGCTCGGTAAAAGCAAGACAGGTTGTACCGCTTGGCCCTGGGTCATTGATGGGGATCTGTTCCTCTGATCAAAAATCTTGTTCAATGTTTCTAAATTTAGATCCCTCCAGTTAAGAGAAGCCAGTTTGCTCTCCAAAGTTGAGAAATTGCCCACAACAATTAGGTGCTGTGACCAATAAGCGATTCTGGTTGCATCTGTTTCAAGGCGTGACAGAGTTTCTCCCAATACCTGCAGAAGGGTGCTGTGGCAGTATCCCAGGGCAGGAAATCACAGGTGCCTGCCTGGGTGATTTAACAGACCTAATCACAGAATCACAGAATGTTGGGTGTTGGAAGGGACCTCTAGAGATCATCTAGTCCAACCCCCCTGCCAGAGCAGGATCGCCTAGAATAGGTCACACAGGAGAGCATCCAGGTGGGTTTTGAATGTAATGCTGTACTTCTGTCAGTTAGCCTGATGTCATTCTTTGCGGTCATGAGCTGACTGACCCTCTTTGGGTGGAGCTACATCTGATACAGAGCTCGCCTGAGGAGGCTTGGGTGCCTCTGTGGCAGGATCGACAGCTGCTGCTGGTCGTGGTGTCCTGAAATGCTTGTGTTGGCCATGCAGATGACAGTTGTTTTGAATTGCACATGGCAATTCGATTTCTTCTCAGAAGAGCCAGCCAACATTAAAGTGAGCTCAAATGAAGGGCATTAACTGAGCTCAAGTAGAAGACATTTATTTTAACATATAGCATGTCTCAAATTTCCAACTCTGTACGAGTATGGTAACCTCATGTGTGAAAGTATCGTTTCAAGTTTAGATTGTGTCTCAAATGGGATAAAATAACTGCATTAATGTGGCATTTGAGGCTAGTTTCTTTACACGAAATGTGAACAGCTTTTTCTCAGTTATAAGCATTTAGGATTGAACACAACAGTCTGTGTGTATGTGATATGCCTTTGTGTATTTGCATACAGCCACACTGTGGTAGACATGCTAATGTATACTTTCACACTAATTACGTATTACCAATATGGGGTATCTTTTTTAAGTACTACCTATGCCATCTCAAGAGAGCTATACAATAGAGCTGACCTTGGAAAAGATACCAAGGGTAATAATTCACACCGTGGTTAGTGTTTGTGCACTTTCTGGGCATATTGGAAGCACAGTGCATAAATATGGAAGAACAGTATCTTGGAATCATTTCTTTCAAATGCAAAACATATCAAACATTAATCTAAGTTGCTTCTTTTATGAATAAGAATCTCAAAAGGAAAGGGGAAAAATTAGTGATAAATTAAGTTGGATTTTTTTTTAGTTGATATTTGTTTAATTTTGTGTTATTGCAGAAACTGGAACACAAAGAAGTTTTGGTTGGCTTGTTGTTCCTGGTTTTCCCATTCATCCCAGCCAGCAACCTCTTCTTCAGGGTGGGATTTGTGGTGGCAGAGCGAGTCCTTTACATGCCGAGGTAACTATTGCAATTGAATTCCTTTCTAATGAGACCACCATCCCATTTTCTAAAAGCAGTCATGATTGCTTCTTCTGTTTTACAATACTTCAAACATTATGTTGCTAGTCAGTGTGTTCTCTGCCTTTGTGTTTTGGCGTGATAGCATGAGAGATTTTATAGTCGGTTGAGAGCAGATTGCTTGGCAGGAGCAAAGTTACCCAAAATTCTTCCTTTTTGTTTAACACAGATTTCTTGATGTGCTAGAAACAGCTCAATAGAGAGATCCTAGAATCATAGAATGTTAGGGGTTGGAAAGGGCCTTGAAAGATCATCTATTCCAACCCCCTTGCCTAGGGCAGCCACACAGGAACACATCCAGGTGGGTTTTAACAGTCTCCAGAGAAGGAGACTCCACAACATCTCCGGGCAGCCTGTGCCAGTGCTGTGTCACTCTCACAGTAAGGAAATTTTTCCTCATGATGAGGTGGAACTTCCTATATTGTAACTTAAACCCATTATTACTTGTTCTATTACTAGACACCACTGAGAAGGGATTGTCTCCTTCCCCTTGACACCCACCCCTCAGATATTTATATATGTTAATAAGGCCTCCTCTCAGCCATCTCCTTTCAAGTTTTCTCAGTCTCTCTTCACATGAGAGATGTTCAAATCCCTTAATCATCCTCGTAGCCCTCTCTCCAGTAGGTCCCTGTCACTCTTGAATTGGGGAGCCCAAAACTGGACACAGTATTCCAGGTGCAGTCTCACCAGGGCAGAGTAGAGGGGGAGGAGAACCTCCCTAGACCTGCTGGACACACTTTTCTTAATGCACCCCAGGATCCCATTGGCCCTCTTGGCCACAAGGGCACATTGCTGTCCCATGGACAACTTACTGTCCACTAGGACTCCAAGGTCTTTCTGCACGAGGCTGCTTTCCAGCAGGACATCCCCTAATGATGAGATGTTATTTCTTCAGGATTGTCTTCCAAGACTCCTTTTTTCGTGGTAGCATTACCAACTTAAATTTTCCAATGCCTTTACCTGAAGGACAGCAGCCAAAAAGTTAACCTTTCATATTCTTATTGTGTCATTGCACACTTTCGCACTACATTAGGTGATCGGTTAAAACAAAGGTGACTATTGCTGTCTTAAAAGGCTGCTGACTTTAGTTGTGGAATATGTGCATGACCTCCTGCCTGTAAGCTATTGATTGCACACACATCTGAGAGTGGAGGATTTGTATTTGTTGAAGTGGAAGAAAACCCAGGCACTTCTCCATTCCTCAGCCTCTGCCGTGGCATTTCCCTCAGCTTCCAGTCTCTGACAATTGCCTCTTCAGCAGTCTGAGTGCTTCCAATTGCATTTACTCAAGGACAACTTTGAGGTGTTACTTCTGACATCTCCACAGTATCCAGGCCACAGGCTGCAGTGATAGTCTGAGGACATTCATCCAGGATGCATCAGACCATTGCCCATTTCACAGAATCACAGGATGGTTGAAGTTGGAAGGGACCTCTGGAGGTCAGCTGGTCCAAACCCCCTGCTCAAGCAGGGCCTCCTGGGGCCAGTTGCTTGGGTCCATATGTAGACAGCTGTTGAGTATTTCCAAGGAGGGAGACTCCACAACATCTCTGGGCAACCTGTGCCAGTGCAGTTTGTTCCAACCATGAGCGTAAGTGATCGTTCTTGGATGCTGCAAGTTAGAAAGGCCAATTCTACCCTTGGGTGCCGAGGATCAGCATCTTCTGTCTCTAATGGGAACTGCCATTGTGGAGCTGTTGACAAAGCACAATCCCCAGTTTCACTCTGGACTACTTCGTGATAACTGAAACAATAGTTTTATTCCACAAAATGTTTCAGTTGTATTTGGATCCTCAGAAAATGTGGATCTGAAAATTCTGAGAGAAATGTTTATAGGTGGCCTTTTGCAAAGGTGTGTGCGTATTCTGATCGTCATTTGTATAAGCACTATTGCAAAAGGGCTGCTCATTGGTGTAAAACTCAGGTTGTATAGGAGCTGTTGAATTTATTACAAGCTTCTTACGCATTTAGGCTATATCTCTGAGCTCTGCTATATACTCACTTGCTTTCTGGGTAAAATCCTGCTGACTTTATTCACATCACTAGCCCTGCTTTTGTTTGCTGAGAGTATACCCAAAAGTATAGTGAGTGGAAGTTGTCCCTCGGAATTATTTTGCAAATGATACCCTGAACTAATGGATCCCATATCATTTCAAATTAACTTTGAAATCAGATTGCTTTAAATTCATGTAACAGAAAATGAGGAAACACATGAAAGCGCAAAGCTATTAAAGAAACAGTCAGCTGAACACAGGGCTGTGCTGAGTGGTTGCATTTCTGAATCTCAAAAGAACAACTGCGGAAAATGCTTCAGCCGTCAGCAGTTCCTAGTCCTCCTCCAGATGAGACTGCTGATATAATGAGAGGAGGGGCAATGAAGAAGAAAAAAGGCTATGTTTGCGCAGAGAAAATTAATCAGCGTTAACATGTGTGCATACAGTTTGTATAATGCTTTTCATCTCCCTGAGGGCTTTGCAAATATATGACCTACAAAGTAGGTAATTGATAGTTGCTGCTTTTTTTTTCTTTCAGGCGGGAAAACTGAGGCAGAAGGACTACATGATTTTTTCACAGTAACTCTGTGTTGGAGTCCCTGAATTTCATTCTTTGCTCAGGCCATGCATGTCCTGCTTTGCAGTATTTGGTTTTTGCTCTTTCTCCAGGCTGACAGGCAGCTAGCATAAAAAGGGAAGGCAAACCTTGGCAGTTTGCAGGAGAGACGGGCAGTTCCCAGCCAAAGGATCCGGAGAGAGCTGAGCTCTTGCCTCCGAGTTACCAAGAAATGAGCTCTCTTACATCCTCCGGGTGCAAAATGACATGAGTGGTGAGGGGAGTTCTGCGAACATTCATGACTATGGCAGAACAAAATTAATGTGTGTGTTTGGATTTTTCCCTTGTGGGAGCATGGCAGTTTAATAATAATGGCTTTAGGAAGGGCTTGTGTTCTTTGTTTAGAACAGCCTTTAGCAGTTTTCTTATGTTACATCTTGAAAAGGGCTTTTCCTATCGTTTGCCATTCCCTCTCTAAAACTCACCCAGTCAGAGGTTATTGTTCACCTTTATTTAGACAAAAATTCTCAATCATATGGAGGGAGCTGAGTGATCTGTGGTTTGGGGCTGGTGCTTTTCTATCCCTGTTTCAAGTAATAGCCTTTTATTAATATTTATGGATGTGACAGTTGTGTACTTGTGTCGCAGCCTGAGGTCCTAATTCAGTGTTGCTCAGTAGTTACCTGGGTGAAATGTGAAGCATTTTCCTTTCGATGAAAGTTAAGTAAGGACCCAGGGATTCATGTAAAAGGTGTTGTAAATAGAATGGAACAGGGAATAAACCTTTTGCTCAATTATATGGCTGGGCCTTGCCTTCTGGGGATTGATGAGTATTTGGAACAATTCCTCTTCTGTTTGCAGCCATGCCTCAGGGGAGAGGGATATAAGCTAAGTCAAAATGATTGAATGTTTTCTTTAATAGGCTTTAGCAAAAAAATAAACATTTGGAGAAAATATTTCTTGTATCTAGTTTTCATTTGAGGGTTACAAGCACTTATTTGTCTAAATCAGGAATTCTTAATAATAGTATTACTTTAGCCTGAAAAGTTTCATAGGAAAACTTTATTGTCTTTCAACTTTTAATGTTCAATTTTATTGTTGTATTCTTATCCTTAAGAGGGGAAAACTTGCTTTCAGGTGGCTGAGGATGTGGAATGCATGTCTTGGGAGTGATGGATGGGATACAGCTCTATAAGCCACAGTTTTCCAAATCTGGGCATCACAATAAAGAGCTGGATCAGCGAAGGATTTAAACCACTGTAGATTTTTTCCTCTTTAAAATGTAGATGTAATTATGTTTAGTGCATATCTGCTAATGCTGCTCAGAACACTACAGGCAGCATAATTGTTTGAAAATCCAGAATGACTCTGTGCATGCAGTTGTTACGAGCTGTGAGCAGTTTGTCTGTATTTAAACAGGAGCACTAGCTCTCCTTCTGCGTTGCCCTTTGCCATGCCAAAACTGGAGAGGCAATGCCAACTCTGGGGCCATCCAGGAGCTGCCGGCCCTGCTGACATACCAGCAGAGCTGGGGTTGCTCTTGCCTCATGGGATCTGATCTTTCCTGCCAGAGCTCCTTCTACGTTTTCCTCATCTTTCGCTGCTACCCTGACAGCAGTGGCTCCTGGCTGGGCTGCCCTATCGTAGCTGGACAGCTTAACCTGTTTTCATAACTTTATATGAAGCAACAAATCAACCAAAACGTTGCTATGTGGCTTATTTCCAGTGTGCCGAGAGCAAGAGGCAATCCAGTGGTACCTGCACCATTTTTATGGCAACGCGTTCATGGTGGATGTTGCAGTGAGTGGGTTGCACAGTGCACAGCTACACCAGTTACAAGTTTCTGTCACTTATTTTACCAGCTCCTCACTTTATCAAGAGCTGATGTTGCAACCCTAACTGTCAATACTAGCAGATGAGATCACTGCTATATACAGGAGGGCATTTGCTTCAGCATCTATCTCAAAACCTGCAAGAGTGCCAGCATCCAGAAAAAAAGTGCGCTTGTATTTTTCAGGAACTTAATAGATCATGTTAAAGCTTTCCCTGTGCCATAGCAAAGCAGGGACAATATGAATTTTTGCCTTTGCATAAAGCATGGTTTTGGTTCTTTGTGCTAATGCATTTGTTCCAATTAATGTAGTTCCATACATTGTTAACTTCTGTAATTGGGAAAAAACCCAAAACCACCGACAAACCTGGTAGGTAGGGGGCCGCTTAGCTCAGCGGATTGAGTGCAGTGCTGATAACAAAGACAACACCGAGGTCTTGGGTTCGATTCCCGCTCAGTCCCCCTGTGTTGCCTGGTCTAGTTGAGAGGTGGCATCCCTGCCCATGACAGGGAGGTTGGATTAAATGATCTCTAAGGTCCCTTCCAACCTAGGCCT